ACATGAGAGTCAGAGCAAGCACAAGGCAGGAGACTGCCAGGGCGCACATCAGCCTAAGCATCTGCAGTGCACAAAGTGTATGGTTCAATGAGCTCCTAGTTTTCAATGTTCGGCTTTACCGGTTTTCATCTCCAGACAAAGATTGAAATTGCTGCAATGAGTGTCAAGACACTTCTGTGGCACGGTTTTGCCTCGCAACTCCTGACAGGTGGATGGTTTGTTTTCCCCTTGCGGTGGACGAGATAGAATAGGGATCAGGTTTAGATGTCTCTAGTTAACATTTCCTGTCGCGTTCTAAAGTTCAGGGTGGGAGGTAGGCCCGGTAGGCTTACTCGAAAGAGAGGCAAAACGTAGAAACGCGAAACTGTTGTGATGATTGATAATGTTCTGCAGGAAACCGGGCAATGGAGATCCGGCAAATTCCATATGATGCTCGTAGGCTCCCCCGCTCAAGGACCTTCAGAGTGACTCTATGTAAAGATCTATGCTTAAATGCTAAGACCTTGGCTGGCCTACAGGCCCTTAATGACCTTAAACCCAAAGCCTTCAACGTGGGATCAGGCTCTGAACCGAAGGCGCCTTGAAGATCACGATGCCCATGATTACTGACAGAAGCAAGCTCGAGGTGCCGAACATGAAGCCGACAGCCTTGGATGTAAGGATTGAAGAATAAGGCAGGGTCAGGGCTTAGGATTGAGGAGTGTGGGGTTCGAGTGCTGTGTTCTTGAGATGAAGTGGATAGGGCCTGGTTCTGTTGCAACTCCTTTCTTTGTGCAACCATCGCATGCTGCACGCAATGTCCCAGTGCTCTCGAAATGCAGGCGCATGCCAAAGTTTGGTCCCAGTTCTCTGCGTTCCCTTGAACCAGGCAGAGGCATTGCATTATGTGAGCCCTAAACCCCAAATTGCAAACCCCAAATCCAGCTCCCTCGGATTTTACCCAGCCGCATGGCAGAGACCATGTAGAGAAAAGTTGACACAGCAAAAACTACACTCAGGGAAATGACAGATAAGACTGTAATCACAGAGGATTAAGAACCGTCTGCGATCTCCTATCACTGCCATGCCAGTCTGGATGGCTACGCTTTCGAATCCGAGGACTCTGAACAAAGGTTGCATGTTCGCCCTTCCGTCTCAGGAAACATCAAGTCCTTGACCTTGATTCGACATTATATAACCCCAATATAATGTAGTAGCTTCCATTTTATTTTCCATTATCCCATTATAACCCCTATACAATCCCCATATTTGGTATTTTGGCCTGCCAAATCAGACAGCCTCGGCTCATTTCGTGACACTAGTCTCCAAGCAGCCTCACAAGCTTGATGTCTGTCAGCAGTCCAGAACACCCTACAGGCCCCGAATGCACCAAAGCTAGACAGGGATACGCGAGCAACTGTAAAAATTCTTTAGCTGGAGTTTTTTTCAAATGAATCCATCTTTAATCCAACGCCGGTTCTTGGTGGGGAACAAAATCATGCACCCTCTGCGATAATACAGTCGTTTCCATGTTCTTTAAACCCTAAACCCTGAACCCTGTCCCTGAAAGCGCTCCGTTTGCTGTCTCATTTGATCCTAGATTGTCATGATGGGGTCAATACACATACTCCCTATATTACCCTAGATCCTCAACCCTAAACCCAAGATAGCAGCTTCCATTTTTCCATTACCCCAGGATAACCGCAAGCCCGCAGTATAACCCCAATGTAACCCCACTGTAAAGCCAAACCCAAAACCAACCACTGGCCGACCTGGCCTTCGAGACCACTGGCGAGCCTAGAGCATAGACATCAACTTAGTCAACTCATATGGGTAGCTGCCAAAATTACAGCCCCATTTTGGTACCCATAAATATTAGGTACCGTACTATAATCTATAACTCAAAGGGGTCCAATATTTTTGAGAATAGTCCACATGAACAGGAAGCTAGATTACAAGGGTTGTAGGACGTGTAGCGTTGTGGGCGTTGGATTTGAAAGCTATTTCTCGAGAATTTCAAGTCCAGAGATCAGAATTTGGGTAGTTTTGAGATGTTTCCGAGCGCGTGCCCTCAGGGACCTTAGGGACATGGGGAGATTTGGAGGGGTTAAAGGGAGCCGTACTTGCGGAGCATTCATATTTTTGGTCTCTAAAATGGACACCCCTTATATACACACACTCGCCAATGTTAGGTCAAGAACCCTGTCATATACACCTACCTGAAACCAGATTGAAGATGACACGCCTTTGCATGTAACATAAACCCTCGGGTCTTGGAACATGCTTTCCATTAGAAATCCACTGCGATGCTTGAGTAGAATTATCGGTCGGAGAATTATATTTGGGGTACTGACAACCGTATCTACATGGCAAACAACGACTATTCAAGCATGCCCTGCCTACAAGAAAGAGGAACTGCCCCGTGCCAACACAGATGCCAGCAAAGGCATCGAGCAGGACCGCCTGACAGGGTTGAGCATATAGGGCAAGGGTGACCGTCTTTGGTTAGAGCTGTTACGGTTGCCATGCGAATCCGAATGCCGCAACGGCGTGCAAGGCCTTTCTGAAGCCTGGTCTCCATATACACATGTACAGAACCCAGGTGATTTCACTAGCATTTCCGTACTGCCAACCAAAGCAGGGAAACGGTTTCAGGTCTGAGGTTTGGGGTTACGCGGTGCAGATGTCAAGCTTCGCGGAGTGGGCTAAAGGTCTGGATGTGTCAGGATTTATCCAAGAGCGGGCCGGGAATATGCCACAGTCTTTGTTCCTTGCTGAAGACTCGATAGATGTCTATGCGCGGACTTTCGCAATGAGAAGGGAATTTGTTCATAGCTCCTTGGGCTCTATTTCGTTCCCTTGGGTATGTACCATATGTCTCACACGCACAAGAAGAAACACCACTCCCCGAACCTTCCGGCGATGCCGACAGGCATTGAGGTATCCTGGGTCCTACCCAGATTGGCACTCGATGATGCACTGTTCAAGACAACTGTTCCTGTGACTTCTGCCTCCCACAAGTACATGGCCTTGCTGATGGATTCCGCTTCAAATTCTGAAAGTTCATAGGCAGTGCAAGGCAAGTCTTTGCAGCCAAACGCACATGGCAACTGAGACATCTGGGTTCTTCGAAATATCCAGTCATTAACAGTCCAGCAACCGAAGGAAATCAACATACATCATGGGTTCTCCAGCCGCCATCACTCATATGGGGTGCGATCCGCACCCCTAACTTTCCAATCTTTTCAGGAGCCCCTATGAAAAATTCTCACGGGCCAAGAAGCCGCTGACCACGGCAGATGGCACCGAGAACACAGAGCGCCCCTTGCGCCCCTGGTGGCAATACGAAATCCAGGTCACCGTCGTCACCTTAGAGCACTCTTTGACCGGGGCTTTGCAGCTTCTGCTGGCTGGCATTCAGGGGGTCTGAGGGGTTTAGACAATTTTGGTTGGCCTGGGCTAAGACGATCATCCGGTGCAGCAGCAGCAGCAGCAGCAGCAGCAGCAGCAGCAGCGGCGCCGGGTGCAGGGTAAGGACATATAGTGTACTAGTGATCTTTCCAAGAACAAAAAACAAACCTAGCCGCTAGCCATTCTTATTGCTGGTTACGCTTGTTTTTGTGCTCCAACTTGCACAGAGCGACTTTCCTGTATTCCTTGGCGTTTATTTCGTGCCTGGCCGTCTCCCCGTTCAAAACCCAAAACGGAGTCCCCTGTGGCCTCATGATGAGACGCCTTTGTAAAAGATTTTTTTCGCAGCTTTTCAAAGATTCTTAGGGTTTTAAAAGTCTTCCTGTCCGTATTCCAATCCAAAACGGGCTCCCAATTGTGCTGATGATGCTGGCGTATGGGGCGCGCGAGGCCTCGTTGGCCTCAGATTATGCTGTTTCCTGGGCAATGCACACAAAAGCTTTCGTACGCTTGTCATGCAGTGCAGGTTTTGCCAATGCTGAAATTTGCAACCTGAAATACTGCCTACAGCACGCATGTTGAGCGCTGTTGTTGGGGTTTATAGCGCATCTTAAGGTCCAAGCAGACCCCTAAGAGCCAGCGTCATGAGCATCATGGAGCCTCTTTGGGCACCCGTTTCCTTCTTGACACCACACATACGAGGTTCCAACACAAAACCCCAGGTATGTTGAGGTGTCCAAACATGAGAAACGAAGACCCACTTGTGCCGACGATGCTGCCCCGACCAAACCCTCCGTAGCCTGGCTAGAAGTCTCAAAAAGGCGTCCAAAAATCACGGCAGGGGTGCCACCCCGTATAAGCATAGCTTGCCTTGGCATGCATCTGCCCTGGACCATAACGGATAGGTCGGACAACTGTGACTGCTGCCACACGCACGACCGTGCCCAGCATGTTGGTGCCCAGACTTGTCTTCTGCGCAACTTCACTATGACTACTACGGCTCTCCGGCGATCACTCTTATGACTTGACACGTTGAGCAGGGCTTGCAAAGTCAGACAGTTGGGTCAAGACCTGCCGGGTGGGCTTTCGTGCTGCATTTCCTCCTCCGGTAAGATGTGGAGGATTCCAAAAGCTGCTGCGGCGGGATTTCCGAAAATTGAATCCGCCCATTTGCAACAATGCTTGTTACATGACCCCTGGGTTTTGAAAATCCCCGTATGGCAATCAAAGGCTTTGCCTCTTTCTGGCCAGTAAGGAGGCGCACTTTAAGGTGGAGACCTACTGTGGATCCAAAACTAAACCCCTTCTTACTACCCTTCCCCACAATTAACCCCAGACAAGAAGCAATTACGATTTGTTTGATTCTTGTGTATCAGGAGTGGGTAGTAAGGAGGTGGTAAAGTAGGACCCCACAAACCTGCGAATACCTCAGAACTCTTCAAGGTACACCTCACCAACCCCGGCAGTCACCGAACCCGAAACGCTTAACCCGTACCTTGCGCTAAATAATATGCAGACCCATATACGCTCTGGTCTTTGTAGTGCCCCATCTGAAGCTCCATATTAGTTAGCTTAAGGGAAGGTAGCCAAATATGTGCTGCGGTAGCAGCCAGTGGAAAGATGGAGATGAGCTGCCCAAACCTCAGCCAACGGTTCAGGATCCCATTCCGGGGTCCCGTTTTCGTACCCACACCCCCAAACGGGCACAGAATTTCGAGAATAGCCCCGTTCTGCGGCCTCCTGGGCTATTAGCCCCTGTTCAGGCTCTGCTATTGGGGTGAGAAGGGTGATATGAGGCCGCGCACAAGCGGGTGACAGGGTACCTGAAATGCACGTCTTTGGAGCACTTTATTTGCAGATTTGGGGTTAGAATGGCTATTGCTGGATCAACGCATTTTCAGGGCAAATTCTTGAGTTCCCAAAAGTGTTCATGCTTCGCGAGATCGAGAAAGCTGGAAGGGAAGAGAAACCTTGCATGACAAAAACGGCAGCGGTTCAATCTGACCCACCCAGCAGGCATGGAGACCTACACCCCGTACGATGAGGGGGTGTAGAACATTGTAGATTGAAAAGTCCATTGCCAAGGTGCATGAAGCAGAAGAGCTGACTAAACGGAGACAGGTTCCCGAGGGCGACAGCAGCCGTGCTGATGGGGCCAGGGCTACCCTGAGTTGATCTTGGTTTTGGGTTCGGGTTCGCTTTTTGGACGCTGTAGGGATGCAAATTTGATCTTTAAGGGTGTTGGTAGAAGTTTGGGTGGGTTTTGCAGGACTTGTTCAAGGTCTGCATACTCAAAAGGCACAAGCTCGAAGTCTCTCTCAATACAGTCTGGGACAAAGGGTAAATCTCATGGGATTCTAGACTACATTGTGCAGTATCTAACAGGAATCGGTGCAATTCAAACCGAATGGCAAGAAGGCGTGCCAACCCATCTGCAAGAAAAATTGGATTAGACGCTGGAAACGGCGGGATGCCCAATTTTACCGCGAACACCCAAAACTGAACAGCGCTGACCCGATGTCCTAGCACAAGTCGAGGCATACAGGTAACGGAAAAAGCGTACTGGTGGCCAGAAGGGTGCCCAGGAATGGATCCCACTCAAACCTCCTAAGATATCCCCAACAATCGTTCGTGTATTCCAATCCTTCACTTTCTATCAGCAATTTTGCGTCACAGCATGTTGTGGCAAGACTTCTGTGTGTTCCATACGGTTTAGGCCTCTGGGTCTTAGAGGATATAGGGTTTAGCACTTCGCCACAAGTACTTGGAGTGCTGAGGCCAGCTGAACTGCTGCAGACAAACAGACAGAGGGCTTCAACCCTGACAACAGAAACCTCTTGCCATGCACTGCCAGGCATGTCTACGCAGATATCTGACCAAGAATACGCTCGGCATCCCAAACATGCAGCCAAGCGTCAAGGAATATTCCTGATGCATTCACATGCTTGGGTCTGGCTTAGGTTTGAGACGTGTGTGTGTGTTTGTGAGGGCTTTTGCAAGACTGTAAATACTTGGGCCATTACTTGGGGCTTTCAAGAAAGCAGGACCGCACTCGTAAACACAAAAAAGCTATGCAGTCCTGATTAAAGGGATTCCCAAGAAGAGGACCCAATTTTCGGATACCTGGACTTTATCCCAAGAATGTCGTAGCATGGAGCCGAAGGGGTGTCTTTTTGCTTTGCAGGGCTTCGGGCTTAGGGTGAGTGTAGGGTTTGGGGGTCCAGGTTGTTATTTTCCAGGGCTTAGGACTGAAAGAACTGAATCAAGCTTGGGCACCAGCAGCAAGGGGCAGGACGAAGGCGACGCAGCTGAATTTATCAATTTCCTTCCAAGTGAGTGTCTCTTTTGCGGCCCCCATAACAAGGAGTACATTCTGGGGCTGATCCTAAAACATAAGACCCTACATACTCTGAATGGCCTAAATGCCCCAAATACCCTGAATACCCTAGACCACGGGACTCCTCCAAATCAGCCATCGCTACGCTCCGACGGTTCAGGGATCGCAGGTATTTGGAGTTCTCGGACTTGAACTCTGTAACCTTTTGACTCACCATGTCCTTGCGAAGGAGGGTGCTTGAAGGGAGCGGTCTGCCTAAGAAAACATGCCGGTGTGCTGGCAGACCTTTATGATCAGGTGATCCAGAATGCATATCCAGGTGATTGCTGCAGACTGCGGGGAATCTCCCCACAGTCGAGAGGCGCAGATCGCAGATCCCTCACATCCGTTTTGAGAGTCAACTCTTGCAGAGAACAAAACTCAGGCAAGCCCTGAAATAATGCTCATGCGCAACCTTCCTCAAGTCAACCTCCCAGATATTTGGACAGGCAGCCTTCTCTGCATCCTTAACAGCTGCAGACTGCGGAGTTTCATTCCCGCACTTCGCAGGCTGAGGCGTCTCATTCGGGAACTCGGAGTGGAACTCGTCCATGACGGCAGGCTGATAATCCCAGTCCTTGTCCCGCTGCTGGGGAAAACGCTTGGGGCTCCATTTAAAGTTGGCATGGGGCTGCATAGGGTTTTATGGGGCTCTAGGGGGATATATAAGAATATGTAGTGCTGCTTCTTGGGGGGTCATGTCTCCTCGCAATTAAGGTTCGATGCCTGTAGTCTTCCAAGACTGTAAAGAAGATTGGAAGGGCTTCGGCATAAACCCTTTTATCAATATAGCTGGGCGTCGTTTTTTGAACCCCAAATTGAAAGGCCCCTTGTAAAGCAAGTATATGTAAAGACATCAATACAGTCTTTAAATACACCCAAAATTCTTACCCAGCCCCACTGAATTGAACTCTGAAATTAAGAAGCCTCACAAGGAAGCAATTGTTGCGAAATCCGCTCGAGGTTCAAAATCTAGCTGCACCTGCACATCCTCATTCTCAACTTCTGTGGGCTGCGACTGTGCCTTCAACAGAAACCATCACAGTTAAAAGTCAAAATCCTCCGACGCAGACATGCTCGCAACTTGGCAATGAAATCAAATTATGAACCAAAATGACCATGCAAAACCAAGCGCGAAAACAGTAAAACTTACACGGATGCCTTCTCAAGCTCTTGCGGCTGCTCTTGGGCCTGCAATCGGCGGAATTGTCGACAAAAGCACAACGTAAAAGAACAGCATGTAGAGCTTCGTCTCTGCTATTACTGCGACTACTAGTAACAACAGCAAATGCTGCTGCTACAGTAATAGTAACACTGGTAGTCCAACCACCACCACTTCGGCTGCTGTTGCTGTTGATGCGAGGACGACGATGACGATGAAGATGCAGTAAGTGGCAATAAGCAGTAGTAAGTAGTAGCAGGCCGGTAAAGTAGCATCCAGCAATAGTCAGTCGTAGTTGGGAGTATTAAGTAGAGGTGAGTGGCTCTCCTGCTTCAGTTGCTATGGTTAATACAGCGCAGGTCCTATTACTCGTCCTCCTACCTCTACCCCTTCTTCCTATGCATACGTTCTGCCTGGTTCTCCGCTTCTTGCATGTTCATTTCATTCTGCCTGTTCTGAAGTTGGCCTCCTCTAGAGGATATCAAGTCATGGGACAGCCATCACTTTTGACATTATGGTAGAAACGCTGGCAGGGGCCGCAATTCCAAATCTTGAAGATGTAACGTGATGTGAGGGCTACCCCCTTTTATCATGTTGAAGGTAACAGCTCGAAAGTGTTAGCAGGCCATGCATAGCTTTCATTCAACTGATCCTGTCTTAGAGTGCAGCTGAATCCGAAAGCTTGAGATCCAGACTCCCAAAAAAATGGACTTCTCGCTCCAATTGAGTTAAAGGTGGCCAAGGCCGATTTACCGCCCGCCCTGTGAATGGATCTAGGGATCCGCTATAAAAGGGAATCAATAATCATGTGCGGTCGACCCCGACACTGAAAGACACTGTTGATCCAACCCCAGTCTCGGCACATCCCTCTGATTCAAGGCACACTTTGTCCGAAGCCCGCATACTCCTGGATACCCAATGTCTCTGAAACCAGAACCCTCCAACTTGAGAACCCAGATGGAATGTTTCACGTGGAACTATATCGGAGATGCTGTTCTTCCTGAATCCTACAACATCTGCAAGTTCCCGGCCGAAGCTGCCCCGTGGCATGGGAGTTTCTTGGAATTTCTCGAAAACGGGTGCATTTCAGGAATCATCCTGCAGGACATGAGGGTGATTAGGGATTATGGGGGACCCTATTGCAAATATATATATATATATCTATCTATCTATCTATCTATCTATCTATTATTTAGACAATCCCCCACATTCCGAAGTTGCTGGCACATCACCTCTGCAGCTGGCTTCACAGCAGGCTTCACAGCAGGCTTCGGCTTCAGCAGACCTGCCAGGTTGACGTCCGGCACGGTAGCGGGCCAATAGGCTCTAAGGGGAGTTGGGGCTGGGGCTGCGATGAAGATCGCTTCTGAGGTGCAGACCTCCGTCTCAAGCGTTATTCCATGGCCCTACACCACGACCCACACGCTATCAGCAGTTCGTAAGGCGAGGCCCAGCTTCTGCAACATCATTCCCCTGACTGAGCATATCACGCCAAAAGAAACTCCATTGTGATTGGGCTAATGCTTGCCATCACCATCAATACCCCTTGTGCGTTGACAAAGAAGTACTAGTAGCAACCATGGAAGTACCAGTACCGCTACTCCCTGCACCTAAGAACAAAGCCCCATGCCTAGTAATGACTAGTCCGCAGACTATGCAAAATGGTACTATATTGCTTGCATTTCTTATTCAGGGGTTGGGGGGTTTTATTAGGAGGCAGCACTGGTATGTTGCGTCTCCTTGTGGGCAATGCAAGCATTGATACTTACGCTAGCTGCCAACATTACCCCAATAATGGAGAACCGAGTGCAAAACCAAATGGAGCATGGAATTGACGCTAAAACCAAATCGAGAATGAAATGGACCCTAGGGCTATGTGTCGGTATATGTGAATGGAAAAGAAAGATAACATTAGACTGGTTTACAACAGAAACCAAATCAGGCTTGGTCCTGATTGATGGTTTCGGTGTGTAGGGAATGGGTGCCTACAGTATGCCGTGTAGTAGAACCCCACCAAAAACCCTTTCCAAATGCCAACCCAAATGAGTCATGACAGGTCCTGCAATGATCTTGTCAGGCTCCCAGTGAGAAGCCGCATTACCTTCGCAGCTAGTCTTCGCGGTGGTCAATAGGTATAGGGATCTGAGCGTGGATCCATTGCCTTCTTATCTCTCAATAACTACCAGCAAGTGGTTGGGGCTTGGGCTGCCAGAGCAGAGCTGACACTTGAGTGAGTAGGATTTACGGCCTAGAGCTGGGTGTTTAAGGCTTTTGGTTAAAGGTTTGATGTTTACGGCCTAGTCTTAAATGTTATGGTGGTGGGTCAACAAGTCTAAGGCTTGGGGTCTTTGGCACAGGGTTGGCGCTCCTAATTTGATCAAGCCTTGCATAGAGATGCTGCGTTGCTGAAATAAATAGAACATTTTGGGCATATGACTGCACTCAATGTCGCTGTCAAACTTGGTACCAGTAGCCTGTCCTTGAACTTCGCACGCACTAGAGATTCATTCCCGTTCAGTCTAATCGAAAACGCCAAAAGTTAAAGTTCGCAAACAAAAAACAATGAAGCTTCCTTTTCACAATAAGAAACGCGTTTTGACTTTTTGGCATTTGTCGCGAAAGGAGGACCTCACAAACTGTCACTTAGGCTTCACTCTCCATTAAGCAAGACATCACCTGTGCAACGTGCTACACTCGAATTCATTTCAAATGTCCCACTTTACAAGCAAAACCGAGCTGGCATAAACTGCTGCACTTCAACTCACGTTAGATGATCCACGAAGCAACGCAACAATGCTGCCATCGGACTATTTTAATCTGCTCCACAAGCGAAACATTACTACCAAATGCTGCATTCGAAGTCTGACAAAATGCCCTGCTGAGCAATATGTCACTAACATTATTGAGCTTAAGACTTCGGACTTTGGGGACTTATCAACCTTCTGGGTCTCGTGGGGCGATTCTCCAACTCGGTAGACTTGAAACATTTCAGAAATGCAACACATCGATCATATTCAACTTCGTGCGACTTTGGCTGACTTTCGAACTTTCGGGCCTTTTCACTTATCATGTCCCGAGTTCTCTTTTGGACTTTCCGGGACATGGCCGGCGGGTCGACCTTTCGAAACTTATCTGCTTTTCTGCTTTAGCGCCGGGGGTTGACTTGTTCAAGACCCTTCGGACCACAATCCTTGAAAGCAGGTTTTTGACTTTTCAACGGCCGGTTTTGCGTCGCTGCTTGATTCCCGTCCACAGACAGTCGCTGCTTCTAAGATGATTCTGCGTTGTTGTAAGAACTGAACCACAGGCTTCATGCAACCGTTGGGGACCAAACCTCGACAACTGAAATCTCGAGTCACGTAACGTATTTAAGCCGCGTTTCTCTTTTTGTGAAAACTAGCTTGCACCCGTAGCGACGGAGATCTACTCTTGCCCAGATAGGCCCAGTGCCTGGCAGTTAAAATCTCTAGAGAACAAAACCAAATGGTATCACTAAAAATGATGATAAAATGGTAAAAAACAAGAATAAGAAGAGCAGCAACAAGAAGAACAATTATTTTGGCTTCTTCGTTACACATATCACCGCCAGGACCAAAGGCGGCTGCTCTTCTCCGGTGCTTTTGTCACTACACATTTAAACTAAACACTCGCAAAGGTCATCCCAGACCCTGGTAAAAACGAGCTTTCAGCAGATGATCACCGATTCTCCGCGATTTTCGTGGCAATTTCAGCATGTGCCCTGCTTAATTTCTGGTCCCAACTTGCTTTTCAAGACGACAATGGAGACACAGATCCTCCAACACATGCTTGTTACACAGCATCAGAACGGAGAATTGTGATGTCCGGTGGCCGGGCTTCTACCGTCCCCTGGCCTGCTTCGTGCCCCCTATGGCCCCCAATGGGCCCTCTACGGCCCTCACGGGTCCTCCCGGGTCTGCGGGGTGCTACACTTAAGGCAGAACTTGTAATCAACGTGAGCATTGTGTCCATGACGCGCTGTAGGTTGCGACATCTCTGCAGCCTATGCGTGGTCCTTTGCCAGAAGAGCGCCAACACGCCAAAACTGAAGTCTTGCAAGTGAGTGGGACCCACAAGAACCGCGAGAACCAGGGTGATTCTGCTGTCTCCCGTTCTCGCTTGTAGAGCCCCTCTTCATACCTACAGTTTCTAGTTGCAAACTTACATTAGACCTTGCACTTACACGAGACTGCCTAAAACCTCATGGCCAACACTACGGTAATCAAAAATGCATGAGGATACCATGCTGATGCTCAACAATTCTAGGAGCTTCCATGTATACTTTAATGCCACTTACAATTAGATGGCACTACTTAGGAGCTCAAGAACTTAGTAAGTAGGTTTTGAGTAAGGGTACCAAACCCCTTAGTGAGGTTGGCCTGCTTATAACCCCCTGTATAACCTATTTGGGGGTTTCCCAAAATTAAGGGGTACCATTTTGAGGATCCCCACAATTCGGACTATAGCATTTTGGGGTCTATATTGGGGTCCCCTTACTTTGGGAATCTACCATTTACTAGTTCTCCTGAATAGTTCTTTCTTGCCTCTCGTGACCATCAGTGGGCCCCCAACAGTAAGTATATGCTTGGCGGGCTCTTCGGGTCCAGTACGGCCCCTATGGGCACTACCGTCATCAAGTCCTCGAGATGCCTCAAGATTCCATGCTGGCACAAACACCCAAACAGCTACGATTAAACAGCGCTACTTAGAGGCTCAGGGGACTTGGAAAGTAGTTGCTAAACATGATTATCAAATCCCGATTTGGGGTTGGCCTGCTGAAATCCCGCTGCAATTGAACCATAACTGCCTTACTCACTGTCCTGTAAGCCTTGAAGTCGCATAGTGGCCTGTCAGTCAAAAGTAAGTGATTAGCAGTGTGCATGGGTCCAATACGGCCGCTAGGGCCACTACCGTCCTCAACATATCATTCAAGACACCATGCTGACACCCAACAATTCAAGTAGTTTCCGCCTGTTGCACATTTGCTTTTAAGCGGCGCTACTTAGAGGCTCAGGGGATGCATGACAGTAAGTAGTGGGGTTGTTGTCAGCCCTAATTGGGGTTGGCCTCTCATACCCCCCCTCATAACCTGCTTACTAAGACTCCTGAGCGTCCAATGTATCTTCAAGCAATGTCTCGTTAAAACTCAGCGCACCCCCTTTACGTTTCGCGTAACGGCCCTTATGGGGCCCTTGGGACCTTACCTTGCGGGCCTTGCAGGCCCTACGAGCCATACGGGCCTTCTACGGGCCTTCGGGCCTCAGGCGCCCGGCCTTCGAGGACACCAGACCCTCAAACCGGGTTAGCAACGAGGTGACGCCAAATGCACCGTTCTCTCTGAAATCTTGCCACCACCACAAAGCATGCCTTTTCAAAAAAAAGAATTCCCAACATCAATGGTCCACAGCAAAACCTTTAAAAGCCAATTTAGCACAGGCGCAAACGTTCCCCAGAAGGCATGCAAAGAGGCCAGGGAACAGAAGGTTTGCATCCTCAGTTGTCTGCTAGAACTATTTAAAGGCCACGCATGACCGCTCCACTTCGCTGCGTGCATCCTTCAGTATTATAGGAGCGAACATACGAAGATGCCTTGCAGGGATTGTTGTTCTGGCACGGCTGAGAGTTTGGGGCTTCGGTGAGACACCTGCGCCGCACGATGGTGGCTTGGCATTCTATACTAGTATCACAGTCTATCTGTCCCCCTAGATGACCTCCATTCATTCCCCAGACGAACGATCCGACCATGTCTGACTACAGTCATATACCACACTCCCCCAAGAACGCCCAAATTGAGTACGGCAGTCTGTGCTGCAATGGGACGGGGGTTACCTGAAACTCGAAACCACAAATCAAATCCCTGCGCACAGCAAAGAGGCCCCTTTTCCATGGTCATGGATAGCATGGTGGTCTAAGGCTTTGGGCTTAGGGCTTGTCTAAGTCCCAGCAGCTTTGGGTCGCTCGAAGATCATCTTACTGTGTGCAGGGCATTGAATTCCTAAATTCTAGGACCCTACACCCTGAGATGTCATAAATTCCACCTCCTGTTCCCTGGGGTGGTGCTGGCAGGTGCCACATCCCAACGCTCCCACCAAGGAGAGCGAGGTTTAGGAGATTCTCAAAACCGCGTGTAAACCAAGGATCTAAAATTGTAAGGAGATTCTGGGGTCAAGGATTCTAGAGAGAACAAGCTGAGAAACGGAAATTTCAAGTTGCCAAGGCTTAAAGGGTCCCTCCAGAACCACTGTGTCAAGGACTTTTGTTTTCTGGAAAACCTCATTCAAACTGTCTTAGCCCAGGCGCCGCCTTTGGCCCCGTATCAATAGCATAGCTCACGGCTGTGCCGAACACCATGGCTGTGCCAAATCCTAAATGCCAGGTGCAGCTTTGGGTTTCTAAGTACAAGAGGGGTTCACAATTTGACGCAGAACTCGAGGAATCAGGATGAAACCTTAGCCCAAAGAGGCTCTAAAGCGGTATATGGGGGAATCGAAAAGAAATTCGGAAACTGCTATGGTATTTGGGGTTTAGGGTTTAGGGCTGATAATAAACCCCTGGACACAACCCCTGTTATTATCAGGCGGAGGCCGGGGTGATAAGGGGAAGGGGAGATTTGCCTAAAGATAGAAAATGGGCAACAAAATACGACAAAAACAACGACGACTGATGAGGAACCATTGTGACGCTAAAAAAACCGTGGCGGTTGTAACACGTCTAGCCCAAGGCCACCAATGCACAAAGCAAATTAACGTTGTCACCATAATCTTTGAAGCTCGAAGAGTCCAACCAATCGTTGGCACTGTCATATTCACTACCCACAGTACTTGGAAAAATCACAGGAATGGCAAAATTCAGAAACTTCTCTGCGTGCACCCATAACAAATTCTACACATGTACATACACATGTCAAATGATCGCTGGGACGCACACCGTAAGCTATAAAATCTAGCGTGCCTACACTCTCAAGCCCTGAACACCTGAACTCCAAACTTGCAAATCCTAAATCCCAAAGCCTCAGGGTCAACCCTAAACTCTCAATGCCCAGAGCCAAGTTTCAGGGCTTTGGGTTTAGGGTACCGTAAACCCTAAACCCCCCAAACCCTAAACCCTACGTCCGTGAACCCCTATCGCCCAAAGCCCTGAATCACTGAGCACAGGGCCAATAGGGCAGGCGACCGACAAACCTAGCCTTGGCTTAGTTGTTTGGGATGCCGGGGGTGGGTTTAGGGTTTTGCCGCAATGTTGCGTAGCGGCAATGCTACATGGACTGTAGACTCATCAGCCGTTTTACTGCTTGCGAAACGCAGCCATGGCCCGACTGCGGCAGGCCATGTCACAACTCACCCACCCCACGCCGTCCGAGGCGGCAAACCACCCAAACCTGGACCTTTGAGGGTTGCACAAGCCGAACCAAGCCTTGGAAGGGACCTCTTATTCCCAAAAACCAACCTAAGGCCTGCTTTTCAGGGCCTGCCAAGAGCCTCCCAGAGCCTCACAGGGGCCTCGCAAAGGTTTTTCAAGGGGCTTTCAAAAACCAACCCTGCACAGGAACCAGTCAGGAACAAATGTTTCCCAGGGCCTCCCATCAGCACCACCCTCTCAATCAATCAAGGGGCTGCGCTGCCTCTCAATACAAGAGCCTGCAACAAGCTTCGAGATCCTTCAATAGCGAGAACGCGAAATGAAATGAATTTGTGTTGTTGACCCAGTAAACCCCCTGAGGGGTCAAAACGATCGGGCTCTTAAGGCTGGGTTCCTTGAGGGGGTCAACAGTATCTGGTTCTTGCGGCTGGGTCCCTTGAGGGGTCAAAAGTATCTGGCTCTCAAGGCTAGCCTTTTGAGGGTCAAAACATTTGGTTTGTGAAGCTGGGCCCCTCCACCTGGGCCCCTCCAAGGGTCAAAACATCTGGCTTGTAAAGGCAGGCCTGCTACGTTTCTGGGAGGCCCGACACCCCCTGCGAGGCCGCTGAGAGGCCTCTAGCAAGGGTGGGAGGCCCGGGAGGTCTTGGGGTCTAGGACCCCCCCAAAATAGCCATTGCGGTTTTCCGGTCGTGGGCGCGCGGCTCCGTGGCTGTGCTGAGGCGGGACCAGCCAGATTCGGCTAGGTAGCTCTCTTGCAGGGATGCGGTCCGAGTCTGTTGCTGTGGAGTGTCTGTTTTGTGTTGTGTGAGGAACTTGTCGCTGTGTTGGCGTGGGAACGTCTGGATGAGCTTCGCGTGTGCCAGGAAGTTTCGCAGCTTCGCGCGTCCGGGTACGGCTCTGCCTCCAGCCACCCCAGTAAGTCAAAATCCTTACAATGTACATTGATTTTCCCTTTGATGGGAATACCCACCAGTTTGGCTCCCCTGAATTTAGGGGTTCCTGGAGGGTCTTGGAGGCCCCTGAAGCTCCCGGAGGCCCCTGGCACTGGAGGCCCCACCGGGCCCGTCATGCTGTCAGAAGATGACCTTTTGGAGGCACGAATTGAGGTAGCCTGTGGTGTCTCACAGCGTGCGGGGATGCTGAAGAAAGCCCAACTTCGATGGCTTCTTGGGCAACATCCACGGATTCGTGGGGCGCAGGATGTGCCGCCACCCACAGAGCCCCGCCCTAAACCCTAAACCCGGACCCGGAGGGAGGGGCTCTATACGTCCATTCTCCATAGGCTCCTCCCATTGTCGTATCCAGTACGGGTGTAAAGGCTGACGTGTGTCTTCAGTGTCTGACCACCCTAGTGATGAGCGGGAACTCCCTAAGCAGGCCGGGTGGGAAGTTAGGGTTTAGGGTTTAGGGATGTGTGTGTGTATGTCGGGGGGGTCGTATATTGGGATAATGGAAAATTAAATGGAAACTACTATATTCTGTTGGGGTTAGATTATATTGGGATAATGGAAAAGAAAATGGCAACTACTATTTAGGGTTTAGGGTTTAGGGCTTAAGGTCGAGAAACCTGTCAGACTTACAATAGTTTAGGGTCTAGGATCATGTTGAAAACTTCCTTGGGGGTTTTCCTTAATGAAAATCGACGACAACCTCCTAAGGGGAGAGGAAGGTTAGGGTGTAAGGTACCTTACTATTATTGAGAGAACATTAAACATGTTGATCCTCAATGTAGATTGATTAGGGTCAGGATGGGTCAGGTACCCCAAATCCGAATACGCGTGATTCAACAAAACCAAGTGTAGGGAGGAAAGGGTTGGGGCTTAGGGCGTCGGGATTTGGGGTTTAGGGAGTCAAGGTTTAGGAGCTGGAGATTGGAGTATAGGGTTGAGGGAGCCCAGGGCTTGGGGGCTAGGATCTTGAGATTCACGACTTGGTATTTAGGTTTTGGGGCTCCTGAATTGAAATCAGCACGTGCCCTAATGGGAAACCCCCACACTGCCGATCAACATTTCCAATACAGAACCATCATGCAGCATGGGGAACTTTCCTTATTAGGGAGATGCGGGTTGTTTGGAAAGGGAAGAATCGCAACTAATCAAGAAACCGAAACAGGAGTCAACCCATTGGCCAGCCTTAAGGTTTAGGATTTCTAGCTCTTCTGCACCGCAAAACAAACCAAAGCGTTCGGAGTTCACAGTTGAGGGCTGAGGTTTGGTAGGTAACACCTACCAAAGACCAACGCCTAAACCCGGAACCCTAATTGCATGACTGGTTGCGGACCAACATCATTGGTGATTCAGGAGTTTATCAAAATATGGGTTCAGGTTTCAAATCTATCTGAAATGCAGGGGTTCGCAAAATGGTGGTAACCTCAGAGACCCGGAGGGTATACAGTATACAGGCAGATGAGCGGACTTCAACGAGTTAGCTGTAAGGATTCTATGAATGGAGGTTTCTCACTGGGATCATCATTCAAGGGTCACCAAGAATAGTCCGAGGCACCCTGGGCACATCAGGAACAACGGTTGGGGCCATTGGTCCACAACCACAACTTGGACTCACCGTCAGGGCAAAGACCCCCGACAAAAAGCCTCAAGAATCCTACACCCTCTGCCTCCGTACACTCCTTCTTCAGCATCAAAGATCCTTAGATCGGCTTGGGAACACTTCAATAGCCTTGGCCATGATGAAGTCACCCGAGCAGAGCAAGAAGCCGCCCAAAAGAGCAATCAGCACGGCACCAAACTTCCTCGGCATGGATTCAGATCACATGGAAACGACCGCTGTGCTTAGGGTTTAGGGTTGGTTTGGCCCACACCTCCTCGGCATGGACTGCAATATCTCATGGATTCCCCTACCGTGGACCTCTACAGAAACATTTAGGAATGATTTAGGTTAACCAGGAGAACCTAGTGGCGGATGATAGGGGATCAACGAATCGCTACACCCTACGGCTTGGATGCTGGAGGGTTTCCGCAGTATGGCTCAGGGTTTCAGCCCCTACCCGGGACCATTATCAACAACATCAGGCTAAAACAATTGCAGTATTCTCAAATTGTTTTTTTACTGCTACTATTGTTCGTATGATTACTGTTATTACTATTATGATTCTTCTTATTAGTATTATTTCTGCTACAAGGAGGTGAAGGCACCTTGACCCTTTTCTAGATCTATCTCCGCAGTGTTGCAGAAATCTTGGCAATCCTGACATGACGATCAACAAAAATCCTACGACAACAGCTGTGGTCCCTGGCAAAGCATGAATAGGATTCCTGCTGTTTGTTTGATAACATGCTTGTGGCTCCAAAAACGCGAAGCCTCTTTATGTTGAACATCTTTGAGCTTTTTGACCCGAGCATCTGGACCCACAAAAATTACAACCCTTGCTAGCTTGGTCACCACCCTCCGACGAAGCACCTAAAACAAAAGATAGGACCTCAAGCCGAGAATTCTCAATCCTTCTCAAGAACCGCAAACCATTGGAGCCAAGCATCTCTGACACCTCTCTTGCAAAGACCGTGGTGAATTGCAGGGTATCCTTCAGAAAAGGTGCCACTTCTATCTCAAAAGGGACCCTCGAATGTCTCTTGAAACTAAGGCAACAAAGGATGCGTCAGTCTGAGCAACACGAGGTCCATGTCATTCGGATGAAATTTGTCCCCAAAAACAACGGACACTGTCACCCAGAACATCGTCTTGAACGGCGGCAAACGGAGCACAACTGTCGCACACAATGAGTGTTGTTTGCTTTCATTCATGTTTCAGAATAGCATGTGGGCCTGGGAATAGAAACTGTCACGGACTATCTATTGCCTTGACCAGCTGCACATACATCGGCCGGACCATCATCACCACCACCACCACCACCACCACTGACCACAACAATCACGGCCACCACCACGCAACAGTATTCACAAACGACAGTTTGCAACACGATTTTAGCCTCTCAAGACAGTGTCAAACTGCCTGCACACAAAAGCAGGCCCTAACACCGCCCAGGAACGAAGTGCATAGTGTTCTCCGGGTTGGCCATGCCGAGTGTAAAGCACAGGAAAAACGAGGTCAGTACCTGGAATAGCACGTACCTTGGAGAACCAAGTCTACCGCCATGTCACAATCATCCATGCTTGCTTTCATGAAGCAGCTACCGCAATCAAGTGAGACCACGTACGTGCACGCAGGCATAGCTTGACAGACTGTGACCCACACCATGCACAGGATTTCCATGTGGGCTTAACAGCGGGACCACACCACAAAATGGAGCCACAAGCGAAACAGATTCTGAACAGAGTCAAGGCACGTTATAGCAAAATTGATAGTCGTGGACCCTCCCTGCTTTCTTGCAGATGGCCAAATTCCCCAGCAAAACCTTAGCAAAACGCTGTACGTTCTGACGTTCGGTGGGATCACAGCACACTTGCGAGAGATCTGCCTTTACCTGAGCAGCTACAGTTTTTGGTGCGTCCACATCTTGGCTGTCCTAACCAAGAACCACTTCACAGCAGGCTGACCAAGAAAACCTCCATAGTAGTGTCCATTTTCTTCTCACTTGTTAGCGTAAAGGAGAATGGAGACGAATATATAATGTGGTGCTAGCCATTGTGTGTTCATTGAATACTGGACAAGAAATAGACGAGGCCCAGGGGCCACAGCATGAACATCATCGGCAGTGCCAAGTCCACGCTTTCTGGAGCAAACATGGCCTTGGTTGAGTCTGAACCTTTCGAGCACTCAGCTCACCAATCCACCTCGGAATCGCAAGTCAAGCGAGACAGGACGATACGTTTTTCTTGGCCCAATGATCTTGCGGGCAAGACTGAGAGAGCTTACTTCCAAGCATCTGTGCGCATGATGCGCGTCCAAATTCTGATTGACTATCATTTTAAACTAGCATCCTTCCACCTTGCAAACAAGCTACCTCTCACTACCTCCTGTGGTCGACAAGGTGCTGTAGCTGCTCTCTGCGTGGGATATGACTGGAAACCATACACAGCAGAGGCAGCAAACCCTGATTCGCAAGCAGCCGTCAAGTGTGTAATCCCCTCTGCACAGAATGCCCAGAAGCGAATTTAAGCGCATGCTTAGCAAATCATAGTACCAGGCATGATGACAACATAGACGACAACAGGAAGACCTGGCAAATTAACCGTAACGCCACAAAGTCAAAGTGAGACAAGGTCAGCATACATCACAAACCACCGTTTCACGTGAGTTCCTGATAGCTTGCTATTAAACAGAAAACAAAGACTTGGAACTGGTTTGATCAAGCCTTGATCAAGCCTTATGTCTAAAGGCTCTGAAGCCTCGAGCCAAAACGCAGGCAGAACGATCTTCCACAACCTACCCCCTGAAGGGTGTTTGTGCGGACTCTTTGACCACTTTGCAAGCGATCTGCCTTTCGGCTAGAACTGTAACATTTGATCCCCCGTAGTAACAAATCGCCACCCCCTAGTACAAATGTTCCCCTTAATAGATACAGGTACTATATTGGGAGGTCTTCATTGTCAGGGGACCAGGGGTTCATGATTTTGGGGAGTGCAATACTTTGGCAAAGTACGGATTCGCTGCCCGCTCCTTTTAGCCTAAGGCTGAGCAGTAGGTCCGGGTCTAACATTTGGGTCTGATGTAAGTGGCACGAAAGAACACAAAAAATGGCTTCTGCAAGAGGTCCCTCCTGAGTATTTGAAAGACGTTCACCCCCAAAGTGGGGAACAACATGTTGCACTTGGGGCTGCGTCCTCCCATAGTGGACGTTTGTGTTGGGTGACCGTGCCGAGGTGGGTCCCCACAACCCCAAGCCCTAGTGCAAGCAGATTGAGAAAACGATAAAAGTCTAGATGAACCGCAAGAAATGGATTATATAGGGATTATAGGGTATATATAGGGATAATGAAAAATACAATGGAAACTACTATAGTATGTTGGGGTATATATAGGGGAAGAAGTAGCCAAGACAAATACAAGGTTGCAAATTGATCACATCTTGCTCCTTCCAAAGCCACCTATGCCAACCCCGCCAAAACGGAATCTTTGCCATGATGCACAAGTATGTTGCGCGACCAAGTCCTCTGTGCTGCAGCCGGTTGCGACCAAACCTCCAAAATGGGAGAATAAGTCAAAGACTGAAACAGCTTCCAACAAAACCCACGTGCGGATGGATCTTTGCCTGCCCAAGGCACGCAGAGCATAAGCTTGCCTGAAATGTGCCTCTGACAACACAACAGCTTGGTCGCCCGCTTGAAGTGAACTGAAATGAACCCAAGGGAGCATCCTCCACGGCGATGGTCCCTGACCTCTTGTAGACACACTTGTGGAGTGTTGGCTCCGTCTGCTGCGTAGCCATGCTTTCATGTTCAACACTCAGACCATAAGAAGTTTCATCTTGGCTTGAAGGCTGCCGGCATAAACTTTGCTTGCTAGGCTCTAACCAATGACAGGCTTCCGCATTGCGCGGAGTCTCACATGTCCGCTAGCTTTCTGCCAGGCCAGCAACCTTAGAGCTGGCATGTCAGAGCTGGACTTGTTCAACACTTCTAGAACAAGGCGTGGCGGAGGCGCATTCTTGCATCTCACACTGTCAAATGGTTGCGCGATGTGCTGCAGAACCTCAGCACCTACACACGGCAATATACGCATGGCTAGAGGGCTCTTGCGCGCTGCAACTAGAAAGAGGTGATGCATTGGCACAGGACTCAGCAAAGCACGCAAAGTGTGCAAGTCTTGGGAGCCAGCAACTTGGATTTGGAAAGAAATCAGCCTGCCACCACTTCCAACAACTGCTCTGGATTCCCAAAGTGGCCCATCGCATGTCATGCAGCAATGAGGGCATTTGGGCAAGGTATTCTCGAGCGATGGATTCTCCACTCGCCTTGTGGTAAAATGTCCTACCATGTCGGGTAAAGCACAGAAGCCACGCTTCCAAGCGTTGAGAAACTCTTCAGCTTGCAAGCATGCTGGACGGACATCCGATGAGATACAGGCATGGTATGGCGGGTGCTGAACTCCTTGCAATCTTAATACCTTCCCTTGACAGTGTCTGATAGAAAGCTGAAGGCCTTGCTAGCTTGTCAGAGGCATCAGCTTCTATGGTTGTCGATGCAGAAGGGTTCGTCACCAACAGAAACTGCCTTAAACTTCAAAGGTCGACCTAACTTTGGATCAGCACCAGAGGGACCACCTTCTGTGCTGACGAAATCTCTTCTGACACCGATCCCACAAAGCATGACAAGCTTCCGCGCATAATACCGGGAATACTTAGGGACCAGGAACGGATTCGGGTTGTGTGTAGTTGCATGAGAATGTTTGTCACACTGTGACATTGGTGTGCATTTTGTGGGTGAGGATTGGAAGCCTGTGGGAATCTGCCTGGTGGCCTGGTACTCATCACGGGCAACAACCCGAAACAACCAAGCCATCCTAAACTAGCCAACAGACTCTTAACCTCATCCAGCGGAAGCGGTCGCAAAGACGGCTTATCATGAGCAGGCAAAATTGTACTGATCAACTTCGTAGCTTAGCTTTGGTGCTGTAGGTACGCCTGTAGAGACAAAGGCTCAGGACCGCAGGGGGTTGCAATTCAGTTCTACTACGAGGCCATTGAGCACAGGCACGAACAACGAGGCACGCAGACGAAGCCGCATCACGGAACATCTGGAGCTTCATCCCAAGCTGCCGGAGATGAGCAGACGGTCACTTTACTTGCATCTGCACCCTGACGCATTTCTGGGAGCATGAAGCCACACTGTGCGTCGCTAATCTTCAACAAAGATCACACGTCTTGCAGTTGGCTCCGGAATCATTGCCATGACCTCGTACATGGTCATTTCAACCGTAGGCATGGTGCGAATAAGCAGAAACTGATCGAACAGACGCTGAAGGTGTCAGACCCTTGAAAGGAGCCATACCTCCCACAGCCGGGGGCGAACTTAAGCAGAATCCAACAGCCTCCAAGCTGCAGCAGGAGCAGTCTTCAGACTCTGCCTCCAAAGTTGCGCCCCGCGTTGCCACATCTCGCGGGGCGCAGCAGGGCAGGCACGGAAGCTTCAGCTGAAGCAGCATCCAAATCATCGGACTCAAATAACAAGACAGAGCTTTGCTAGGCAAAGCGATGGCCGAGCTGTACTCTGGTGTCCTGCAAGGTTTTGGCCAATCTTTTTTGGATTCTGATTGGTGACGTATCAAGAACACTACCCAGAACCTAAACCCAGTGCCGGAAGCAACAAATTGGCAACTACGCTTTCAGCAACCGAGGCGTTTCTGAGGGCAAGCTTTTTCAATCGAAACCCTTCCCGAAAAATCACAGGGGCGTCCAGGAGTAGGAGGCATCTTCACACAGCCTCCATGCCATTCCAGTCCTCATTTGCGAAGGTCTCGAAGTGCTAGATCCCACTTCGGAGCCCGTGATTCACATGAGAACTTGGCCCGGGTTTTGAAAGCTAGCGACATTGGACTGAGAACTGCAAAGTGCTGCTGCGCTCAAACTTGCGGGCAACAAGCATCTTAAAAGGACGATCCAGCGACCTCTCGCCATCCTGGCTT